ACTTTTACTTTTCTAGTTCGGCATAGTGAGAGAATGAAGCATCTTGTGATTTAACTCTACATTTCAGGGACAACCAGCTGAAGTGGTGCAGGTGCTGCTTCTGCAGTTAATCAAGGTGTCCCCAAAAATAGGATGCAATGTGCTGAGAAACAATCACCAAAGACCCCCACTGAGGATGATTTATCTGACAGTGAGAACAATGCAAAAGATACAAAGGATGTTTGTCCAGTTCGACGCTCAGAAAGAACCCCAAGAAAATCATAGAAGTACCAGCCTCCTTTTCTGTATAAGATCACTTTGTAACTGTTGCCTTCCTGCCCTGAAGTTGCAACAACTGAAGAAATAATTATTTCCTAAGGAACTAAGAATTTCACTCAAAATTGTGTCTGCTTATATTTAAGTATTGAGCTAAGAAGCACTTAAATAAGTATGCTTGTTGGGCATAACAAGATACAGGACGTGCAATTTCTAATATTTGGAGATGAGTGTGGGATGTGTGTGCGCGTGTGTTCAACAAAGTAACACATGACTGAAATTCAAAGTGTATAAAATTGCCTGGTTGCGGTTAAATTTTATGCCACCTTTGATTTAAACTTCAAAGGCCAGTCATTTAACTTTATTGTTGGTTCAGATTTGCAGATGCTTCCAGTGATGAATCTCCTGAAAGCAGCCAGATCTCTCCGAACATGAGGAAAAAGTAGGTTAATACTGCGGCCAGTGGTCATAATATCATAAATATCCTTCTAATTGGTTGGCTAGCGGTGTTCAGTTTCATTTTTTTCCTTTGGAGTTTGATATTATTGATACCTAATTGACCTAGAATTTTAGAACTTCATTGAACATACAGTATATATCTTATGTGCACCTGTATGTGATGTCCCTTAAGTCATTGATGCAGAAAGAAAGTCCATACATGGTGATTGGTGATGTTAATGAGGATGCTGCAGAAGAAATTCAGCTCCCTGAGGAAAATAGAAAGTGTGCTTCAGGATCTCTATCTAAAAAAGTCTCTCAAGTTTCTTCCACATCTGCAACTAAGGAAGTTTGGAGCAGTAATCGTGGTTCACTGTCCAAGCTACTTTATCCACATTATTCAAAAAGGTGGAAGAAAAGGTGAGCTTTTTCTTTAAATTTTGGCATGGGAACAAAATGTAGAGAAGTGTTGAAGACAAATTTTAGGATACTCCAATTCCCCTTGTATATTATATGTTAGTGCAACTTCTATTTTGCTTGTCAATCTTAGGTTAGTCTTTAAGTACACAAAGAATTTCGACTCTCTGTTTCAATATTCTTTTGGAAGATTTAAGGATGCATTTTCTCATTATTGCATAGGTTTTGGTGGGATATGTGAGGACCAAAAACTATGAACTGTCATACACGAGATAGTTTTACTTCTGATCTACCTAAAAGTCGTGCGTGCAATGTCAACTTGGGTCTTTGTACGGGTATGTAGCTAAGCATTCTGATATGATAGAAATAGAAAAGAGGAAGGTGGAAGAGGGTTAAGGGAAGACGAAAGATAAAGAAAGGTAGGGATTAGGAGAGGAGAGCTAGCGAAGAGATGAAGCGAGAGAGAAATCAGAGAGAAGGCAAGATCATATCTGAATAGTGCACTGTATATTCCTGAAAATCAATTCTGTACAACTGGATACCCTGTCATATCTATTTATAGGCCGAGCTAACAGAACTAATTACTAATTAAATATCCTTGCTAACGGCTAGTGGCCGTTACCCATCTAATTATTTAAAAATAATTATAATAGTACATCACATTCCTTTATGGAATACTGTGTTAATAGAACAGTGCCATGCATTCTGCACTTGTTCCATGATCTGCATGTAATTCGCAAGACAATCACAGGTTATATCTTTAGTCGTAATAGTATTTTCTTTAGCCCTGAAATTTCTAACAGGAAGTTCTACTTGGTCTAATCTATGGGGTCAGTTTTAGGTAATCATTTACCAATGGAGAACATGTTTGCCGCGGTTTGTAAATCATTGGGATTGTTCTGTGTTTACTCTGTGTGTGTGTGTGTGTGAAAGGAATACTGATTAAAAATATGGATATCTAATATTCTGTACCAGCAAGTTTTAGAAAATGGATCAATCTGTTGAACTGCACGACTAAAATGTAGTTAAAGAGATATAAGAAAAGAAAACGAGGGACTGTCGTTCTGTGTCTCAGTCTGGGATATTGTAAGCCTCCCTATATAGCTTAATTGTGCAAAATTATAATCTTCAAACTTGAAATTATGCTATAATTTGTTTATTTCTTCTATTGAACCTTTCAAACAGGAGATAACTAGATCATGAACGTCCGTCTTCTGTCAGTCTGACAACCTTAGTGCTTCGTTAATAATATCCTACTTTCTATTGTGGTAGTTATTGGTCAGATTGATTGATTCTTTAAACTCTTCCTTTTTCAGAAAGCTCCAAGAACCCAAAAGAAACTTTCATCATCAAAAGGTAGCTAGTTTATACATTTTTGGGTAGTTATATTACGGAAATTGGATAATTGAAGTTATTGATGTTTTCCAGATTCCACCAAAAATTTGCAGGATGCTTGTTCAAAGAGGATCATAGATCTGGTTCTTCTTCCTCATCTTCTTCTTTAACTACTTTTCTGAATCTCTTTCACTTTGTTTGGGGATAGGTTTTCCATTAAGGCTCAAACTGCTTCCTATTAAGGTAGAATGCAAGCTGAGGTCTTTTTGGCTTTTGTTGCAGGATGAAGTGTCCAAGGAAAGAGTTAGAAAGACCAAGGGCAAGGATGCTGGTTACTATTCTCTCCCTCTCTTCCCTCTAAATGTTTAGGGGACAAAATTAATTTTTTTAAAAAAGAATCTCAGATCAATATAAAATATAAAACCTGTGGCTTGCTGCACTGTTCACAAGTTGTCGGCAATGCAGCTCATTTTTCAAGCTCTGTATAATGCATCTACGGGTATTTGCCTGACCATATGCATAGAGGAGAATTATTGATCATTGGCACTTGTTTGGCTGGGTTTAATGCGCACCCCGCCATCAAACACTTGATAGGGGATCCACAAGTGCTGAAATTTTAGAATTCATGCATATAGACTACTCTTGCTCATGTCAGCATTATTGAGTCACCATTAAGTGTTTAATAAACTTTTACTTTGGATATTATATTTGGAAAAAAGAAACTGTAGATCTGTTCAAGATTTGACGTCGTACTTGATCAACGAATTGAAGTCCTGTTTTGTTGGCAGTGTCAAAGGAAGTAAAAATTTGTTTCTGATGGAACGTCTGCCTTCAAATCCCCAGCTCCAGACAAGAAACTACTAGCGCTTTATGTGATATGTTCATAGTCGTATAATGGATATCCGACTGAAAATCTAAATGGATTTGAGTCTAGCCTTCCAATGCACTGAATGCTTTTATGTTTTTGACGTGTCTAAAACGTTGTGGTTCAAAACTTCTTTATCGTTAATAAGTACTTGCATTTATGAAGCTTTGGCGGGTTTGCTTATTATGTTTTCTACTTTTTTAGGTGGAAATAAGGCGGCAAAGGGTTAACAACGCAAGATTGGTATGGGTTTAGCAGTGGTTTCCCATGATTGTTCTTTATTCATAGCATTAATTTAAGAGGACGAATAATTTGCCAACGACTTGGTCCCTGGCACCGGTCAATCAAGAAGCTTGCCTTTGAATCAAGTAATTTGACATTGTACCAATAAAATGTAGGTTGAAGATGAACTTGATGAGATTGAAGAAGTTTCAGGTGATTCATAGGTAATTGTTCTTGTCTCATGGATTTCATTCGAAGACATAAAGCCGGGCTTTGACGATTACAAGTACAAAACTTGAGTTTCATTAAATTCATAAACATATTTTTGTTGAATAATCTGACAACACATTTGAAGGACTTGAGAATCTCATATACCCGTCCTCTTCTTGCTGTTACACTAATTTGCTCTCATGGAAGTTTTACATAGGATGTGGATGAAAGTGATGAAGATTGGACTGCTTGAGCTTATGATCTGGATTACAGGGATGATGCCACAATTTCAAGCAAGTAAAGGGATGCTGTTGTTCCTCCTAAAATTGCTGATGTGATGGCTAAAGAAGGTTGACACACCTCTCACCCACCAGTTCATGCGGGAGATATATATATCATTGTGATATGGTGAAGAAAGGATGGAAATGATTTATAGAAAAGAAATGGAGATGCATGGAAGGTGAACGAAGGGAGTTTTATTGTAGAGAATTAAATATCTGTTGTAGCAAGCATGGGGGACGATGTTTTAGTTGACTGTTACCCAATTCTCTAAGAAATTCCTTTTTAACAACCATCATCGGTTTGTGTATTTGAAATACAACCTGCTGGCTTTTGCGTGGTATTATTAATCTTTTTAGAATACTGATATGTAAAACAATTTTAGAAAAAAAATAAAAATGATATAAATATATTTATGTAATTAATAGTGATTCGCATTCTTCAAAAACATAAAATGCTTACTTCACTTTTCAATAAGCATTCCTAATAAAGCTTTAAATAAGTTAATGATTTTTTTATTCTTTTTGAAGTATCTTACCGGATATTAGCATATGTCTTTATGGAAAGAAAAAAACTTCATTTAATGTGGGGATAAAAATTGTTATTTTTAGTTCAATCAAAAGGAGGTGGAGCAGCAAATTAAGAAACCCAGCTTTTTCCCAAAAAAAAAAAAAAAAGATGAAAAATATAAATAGGTAATCAGCCCATAAAAAATAAATACTCGGAGTTACTGCCAAACAATTACTCGTATCTTCACTAATCTTCAACTAGGAACAAAGAGCGCTAAATGCAATACCTATAACCAGATTATACATACAATGAACATCCCAACTCACCCCAAGGAAGCGTGCTTTTCTGGTGTAAGATTCTAGCTAGTTTCTTCCCATTTTTACAATCACATTTTATTCAACTCTAGGCTTACTTTGCATAATGTTTGAAAGGCAAAGATTTACAAGGCACTAATAAACTAGAGTCTCTGAACAAGATATTAATTTGAAGCCAAACCTAAACCTCTAAGAACCTAAGAAAGCATCAACCCTAGCATTCGTTGCCCTGGACAAGAACTTCATGCAAATAGGTGGCTTAACTCCAGCAAGAGCAAGTATTGAAGCAGGCAAAGTCCATATCCCATCCCCACATATCAGCCCAGAAGCCACCGCAGGAGCAAAAGCATCTGCTTTAGCCTTGTTCATCTTCTCCCACACAAACAGTATCAGACTTCCAACACACATGTCAATGGCGAAGTATGGCCCTATATAGAATGGAATGGCCATGGCCATGGGAAGTGGTATGAACCAACCTCTCTTACCCATCAAGTCTTTAATCAAGTTTATCACAATGGCAGAAACAAAGAAAATATAGCAAAACAAAAGACAGTGCTTTGGAAGAGAAGAGAAACCTTCTACACCCAACATGGCCATGTTTCTGTACACTATAGCATAAGGAGCAGGATACTCACTATGGGGTGTGCCAAGGTCTTTAAAAGCCTTGTAAAAGACCCAGAAAACACAAGGAGAGATCACACAACCCATTGTTGTGCCTATAATTTGGCTGAAAAACATAGACCTAGGTGATGACAGTGTGAGGTAGCCTGTCTTGAAATCCTGCATCAAGTCAGAGGCTGTGGAGACTATGTTCATCAGCACTCCACAGGCTGCTAGCCCAGCTAGAATGCCACCATGTGAGGAACTGGCCCAAGCTCCAATGGCGAAGATGGCTAGCTTTCCATAAGCGGATGCTAGAGACCAGTCCGTTAGTCCACATCCATAAGCATTACAGAATGCCAATGCAGGAGCAAACAGGTAGATCACCAGTATGTAGTACCATTTCAGTTGGGGAAAGATGTGTGGGACTGTGATCATGGAGACTACAGAAATTGCCACATAGCCTCCAACTACAAAATATGAGGGTATTTGATCTTTGAGAAAGAATTCGATTCGACGTTGATCATCATAGGAAAGTTGTGTAGGTGAGGGTGAGTTCTGATCTGCAACAGGAAGAACATTCTCTCTTCGTTTGTCTCTGATTTGTTTGTAGATACCAATAAGAGTATGACCTAGAACCTTGAATAAGTTATATAAACCATCTCCTAGGATCAATGATATGCCTATAAATACCTGAAATTAAGGAGGAAGGCAAGTGAATTTGAGGTTGGAAAAACCACAAAGCATGTAAACGGCAGAACTACTTTTGCTTGATCATAGGAAACAAACCTTGTAACCTTGAAGGCCATTCATGTCAGTATCATCAAGGTTGGGGGGGTACCACTGGCCTTCTTTCTTTTCTATGAGAGGCCACATTATTCCCCAAGAAAGAATTCCTCCAAGGAGCACTGATACATTTATGATATATGGGCAAATCATTCCTACTCCAACATAGATTGAAGAGAAATCAAAATAAAACCTGAAACAAAAAATAGTAAAGGGTTAGTTACAGAGAGATAAATGTTTGAAGATAGATATGTAAGAACATACTTGTACTGATATGCTTTGAGGCCTAGAGAAGGGAAGGCTTGAAATCCACATTGATCAGTAGCAGTATAGAACCATTGGAAAAAACCCCATAGGAAACTGAGACTGAAGAATTTTCCCAATACTTTTACTTGCTTCCTGAGGGTAGAATATGAATATATATCAGTTTATATGTCTAAATTCCCACATAGGTCAAATGTGAACTATTAAGGGTCCATTACAATGCCTTACTTTGCTAGTCTGACTCCTTCAGGAGTGTGGAAGCTGTTGATGAGATGAGCAGTTGCAGTACCACTTGGATATGTCAAATTGAAGTTAATAATCATAATCTGCAACCAATAACACAAATAAAACAAATCTGTAATGAAGTCATGTATTATATAAGCATCAGCAACATGTAAGAATCATTTTGCATAGTGAAGTCAGTCAATGGATGAATCATATATACCTTCCTCAAAGGTACAACTGAGAAAAGGCCAATAAAGCTGACAACAAAGAGAAACCCAATAATCCATCCTAATGAAGGGTTTTTGAAGTCACTCTTGTCTAAAGTTTGATTGGCTATACGTTCACTCATTCCAAAGAGGTAGCTTCCAAAACCTCCTGTTCATTGAAGATTAGAGCAAATTAACTTAATCTCTTCCAAAAATTAACAAGATTACATGTTAATAGGGACAAAGATGGTACCACTAAAGGCAATGCCAGAGGAAGCGACAACACAGGTCTGAATGACTGTGTTTTCCTGTCTAGTAAATGGTTGTCTCAACATGCCAGACTTTTCCAACAACTTTGTCCATGTCTTGACGAAGAAGAAACCCAAAAGACCAGCAGAGACGTTGAGGGAAGGAATAATCCCAGTGGTGAGATTCAGTTTCATCACTATGAAACTAAACAGTATGCTCAGACATAGGCTAACAGCTAGGGCTCTCAACGTTAGTTGCTTCCTCCATGGAAGCACCACCTGGCTCACGAACACTCTCTCCAATGAAACCTTTTCTTTGAACTCCATGCCCTTCTGGTTTGGTTTCTGCACTTGTTCATCTTCCCCAATACCATCAAACCCACTTTCTACTGTATCCCCATTTCCATTATAAGCCATTTCTCTGTTCTTGAACTGTGTTTTACAAGCAATGTAGATAGATGTTGGTATCCAAGGGGATTGTGGATATCGAAATTCAGAATCTTTAATGGAGGTCGAATAGAAGTTAGTATGCTTTGAAGGGTTATTGGGTATTTATCTATGATATCATTCATAGATGCTTCACATACAATTTAGGAGTCAAACCAACGCAATTGAATTGATTGGCCATTTTGAGGAAGTGGAATTGACCAGCACACCGTTTTGATTTATAACTCCAGTTTCTTTTCTTTTTGTTTTTTTTTGGGTACAAAACTCTACGAGGATTAGAGTTTTATTCTGCATATATGTTCATCCATCTTTAGTTAATTTTTAGACGATAAATTATCCATCGCCCCTCCTATAGCAGAGGATATAATTTAACTTGAATTTTATGTTTATGCAAATGTTTAAGTAATACTTCTCTGGTCGTTAATATAAGACTTATTTAACTAATTTGATTAAATTAAGAAAGTTAGGTAAATTGGGTGATTATAAGAAATATGATATATTTTTTCCTAAAACACCATAATCATCTTTCTTAATATCCTTCTTCTTTCTTCTATTTGATTATGATTGAGAGAGTATGCATAGGGGTAATTTAGAAAAAATTGATAAATATACAAATAGGTCTTATATTTAGGACTAAAATTAACTCAATAATTAGATCTTATATTAAGGACCGAAGATACTACCTCCAGTCCTAATCATAAGAGCTTAAATAACGGCTTATAATTAGAATCGGAGTAGTATAGAGTTAAGCATATGAGTTTATAACAATATTCTGGAATATTTTAATAAAAATTAAGGAAGACTAAATTAAAATTTTTATATTATAAATATGGAGATTATATTAAATGTAAATGAAATGGAATAGAAGAGTAATTTAACTAATTATAGCGATTTTATTTGTTTGTATTGACATTGATTATTTAAGTTTTATTTTCTTTTTAGTCTATTTAAGTTTTCTTTGATTCTAGTTTTGACGGAACGTTAAGGAAGAGTTGAGAATCTTGCGTTAATTCATTTGGAACAAGATGCTATAATTAATTGGAAACAAACAAAAGTCTATTCTAACGTAGTTAACGGTAGTTCCACGAAATGTTTTTATTTTATAATAGTTTTATTCGTAATATAAAATTAAATGGCCAAAATAAAAATTTTGTGCAAAATTGAAGGATAGAGGTGCAATTTTGCCTATCTTGCATCAAATAACATTATTGAAAAGATGCCACATATAAGCATTTCAGATCATACATTAGAAGCCCGAAATTTTATGGGAAGGACCAGAAAGACGGCAGCATCCTTAGTAGAGGAGGACAAGACAAGTAGGTAGGTAGCCCATAAAACTGAAGACACAGCTTGAAACACAAACCTAAGAAGTTAATGAAGACATATATAAGCCAAAGCAAAAGGGCTTTGATTAATTACTTAATGAGGAATACGAAGCCAGATGGGGATAGGGTTGTGAGGTTTGGGTGTGTCATTCCAAACAGAGAAAGCACTCTCAGAGTTCATCCATGTGCTTGTCATTTGTGGGTAATGTCTGTCTATAACATCTTTAAGGCTCTCAGTAGTGTTCACCCACTTCAATCCCACCTTCGTGTAGCTCTCTTCGTTGTAATTTGTTGTGAAGAATCTATCACCTTCTAACCTCCTGCACAAAATCAACTCTTACTGATCAGCTCTTACGTGTTCAAGTTTATGATGTGTATCTAACTGGAATAGGGAATCCGCCCCAAGAGTTAGCTGGTTGATATGATAGAACCAACCCACTTAAATATCCTAATTTCGTACTCCTCCGGTCCTTAATATAAGACCCATTTAACTAATTTGATTAGATTAAGGAAGTTAGATAAGTTAGTTAATTATAAGAAAAGTGACACATTTTTCCTAAAACACCATAATCATCTTTTTTAATACCCCTCTCCTTCTTCTATTTGATTATGTTGAGGGAGTATCTATAAGGATAATTTAGAGAAAATTGATAATATGAGAAATGGGTCTTATATTTAGGACTAAAACCAACTCAAGAATTGGGTCCTATATTAAGGACTGGAAGAGTATCTCATACTACTTAATGTGAGACTTAATATCTCTAGCCACATCTTTATCAGTATATATGTGCTTAGTTTAGATAAATAGAGATGCGTACCTAGTTGCCATGAGGAGGAAAATGATGAAGGCACTCACTAATGGCGAAGCCAGGGATCTTCTTCTCTGCCAAGAGACCCACAAGAAGATCAAGCTCCTCAAAGTCATCACCATACACTTCTCTCAGTGATACAATCGTTTCATCATCATCTGTCAGATCTTCCCATTTTGAGATTGGAAGCAGAAGTAATCCTCTTCGGAAGTTGTTGTACCTTGGCACGTTTCTCTCTCTGTCCCTATAGACTGCATATACATATAAATATATAACAGTATATTTTCAGTGCCTGAATTATTATATCATAACTAATTAAAAAACCTGCGTTTATACATAGCATGCTTTTTTTTCCCCACGTACTTTCAAGGGCAGCGAGGTCCACATGATCTGGCCTAGGCTTTTCATCCACATCATGGGCTACGAGGTCTCTTAGAAACTGTGGGTAGTTCCAAAGTTCAAGGGCTCCACAAGCTTGATGACCCATTGACACCATTTGAGTCTCCAATCCTACTGAGTTCAAGGTTTGTTCACCTTCTAATCCTATCAACTTTTCCATCTCGATCCTGCCATCGTCATCATCACAACGACCCATACATTAATTCCAACGAAGAAATTAATGAAAAAAAGTGACACATACATCAAGAAGTCGAAAGGCATTATATATATATATATATATATATATAGAGAGAGAGAGAGAGAGACATACTCTTCTTTCAAAGGAGGTTGTTTGTTTTCTCCTATTGCGCCTTTGAGGTTTCGGATCTGAAGCTTGTCCGGAAGAAGAGGATGCATCCTATAAACACTCACGAATTCCTCTGTCAAAGAGTATGGAACTCCATGAATATCTGGCTTCTTCATTCCAACCAGACCTCCCAAAATGGAATTTCCAACATGCCCAAACTTGTCCTTGAAGTTCTTCCCCAGTAATCCATACCTGAAAAAATGGGTTCAAGTTTCTTCCATCAACTGAATCTCTCTCTCTCTATCTTTCTGGGGATATTTAATTTTAGGTTAAAGTATACATTTAGTTTTTTAATTTTATAGAGAATTTTGATTTGGTTCCTTATCTTTGAAAAATATACTTTTGGTCCTATAATCCTAAAATTGTTAATAAAAAATGATGATATTAAGATTTTAAATGTTGATAAAACATTTTCAAATGTTAACATATTAAGTTTAATTTTCAAAACAATCATGGTTGTTATAAAAAATCATCTTTTAACATTAACGATTTTAGGGCTAAATGACTAAAAGTATGCATTTTAAAGTTAAGGATCAAATTAAAACCCTGTATGAAGTTAAAAAGACTAAATGTATATTTTAACCTTAATTTTAATTTTAAGTTAAATAATATAATATGAGCTTTTGAGCAGGGGTATGATTAATTATTCACCAGTTAGCACGCATCCCAGAATACAACATATCGGTTTTGAGAAGCTCCACGGTCCAATCAATGGTGTGGATCTTTGCAATCACAGCAGAAGTGACCAGCCTTGCATGCCTATACACCTCTTCGTCCCTCAACTCTGGATTTTCTTTCTGCAACATTTGAAATTAATCAAATTAAGCCAACAAGATTTGTTAATTAATTAATTAAACTAGTCATGTATTTAATTAGAAACTTCGTTTATATATATATTGATATAGATACCTTGATGGCGTCACAGATAAGGTTGTGTTCTTGGATGAAGAGGGCCTGCAAGGTTGAAACACCAGCCCAGCTATTTCGGACATCGCCAGAGATAGCAATGCCATTTTCATCATGAGGAAGAAGGCCATTGTCTGCTATCTTAATCTTCCCATCTACCCCTGTTCTCACTTTGTTTACCTTTTCCTTTGTGGCTCCATATATCACACTTGCATCCCTGATGGGCATATACACATTTTCCTCCATATGCTTAATTACTTGCTTATTATACAAAAGTACACACACATGTATTTATTATTACCTCCATTCCTTAGTATAAGACCTAACTGACTAATTTGAAAAAATTAAAAGAGTTGCTATATTACTTAATTAGAGCATATGTTATATGATATTTCTAAAGTACTTATGTTTATCATTAGATTATATATAAATTTATAATAGTAACAAATTAGTTTAGAGGAAACGATAAATATAAATATTTTAAATAATTTGTTAACTTCTTCAATCTCCCTAAATAAGTTAGTTAATTTTATATGAAGTATCCGAGTGAGCACATATCTATCTAAAGGATGCGGCATGTTTAATAAAGAAATATGTCACAGCTTCATACCACCAAGAAGTGCGAATGTTGAGATGGCCTTTCTGGATCTCGTAGAAGCCAGTGGCTTCTTCCTTTGTTTTGAAGAATTTGAAGGAACTCAAAGGACATTGGCCAGCCACCTCTTTTGGCGCTACTAGCTCAACCTGCCAGAATTCATAAGACATAATTAATCCGCAAATTAAATACTTCCATATGCTGTATAACAACTCCCAATATATATAATACTACCTTTGATCCTTAATATGAGACTTTTTTTTACTTTTATCTTGGTTCTAAATATAAGACTCCAATCCACTTTGTTTCTCATATTTATGTTTTTTTTTCACGGTAGTTTTTCTAACAATGATAGCTATAGCCAATACACTTGATTAATAAGG